TCCAACAAGGCCATTGTCGCTGTGCACGACGCGCGAGACTTGTTTGCACTGCTCACGGCCTCGTCCAAGGGCCGGCAAGTGTAACAAAAAAAAGACCTGCTGCTCCCACAAGCTCAGAGTCAATTTCTCGCTTGCCTCTCGCTTCGCTGCGAGAGCCTGGAGTCGTCATTATCCCTAGTTGTTGCTTTCTGCCTGCGCCGACCCTCCTTTGCATGGCCACCACGTTTGCCAATCGCAACTTACATCATCGCGCCCAACAAACTTGCTGCGTCGCGAGCCGAGTGCCGGGCTTCGCCAACAACCACAAAGGCACTCAAAACCAACTGTCAACTGGTCGCGGCCGATAACACGCAACCACTGTCGCCAGCACCGTCATCACACCTTCAACCATGGTGCCCGCACCACCGTCTCTGCCCACTCGGTTTCCGTGCTGGTGCAGAGCCGTCTACTCTTGGGGAGGAGAGGTATGTTGGCATACCTTGGCCTTGGTGGAGAAGAGCGATTTCCGAATGCTGACTTGCCGTCCCACAGTCCAAGCGAGATCTCGGCTTCATCGAAGGCGACCTAATCGAATGCCTCAATGCCGGCGACGGCTCTTGGTGGACAGGCAGGTTATGGCGCGACCGAAGGACGATAGGAGTGTTTCCTTCCAACTTTGTTGAGGTTCTGCCCTCTGATTTCCGGCCCACAACCAGATCTGCCAGCCCGCTCCCCGCAGACACGCCGAGCCCGAGTACACCTCAAAAGTCAAGAACTTTCCGAAAGCCCTTCGAAGCATACTCCAAAGCGCCGCACTACACAGCAGCGAAACAGCCTGAAGTCTACCGGACGAACCCAAATCCGAGACCTAGAGGGCACTCTGGGGAATCGATTCACAGCGCGATGGCTGAGCAAAGCAGGAGAGATCGGTCACCGGCCCCAGAGGCGTATGTTTCGAGGGAGAACTCGTTCAACAGTGCTGTCTCGAATAGAATGCGAGCATACACGTCGCCAGCCCCGACCGGCTATGTATCACGAGGCAACTCATTCAACGACGGCGAGCAGCAGTACATACCGAGAGGGAGAACCCCCGTCCCAAGGGCTAGGACACCCGTTCCCGACTACGGCCACGGATCGAGAGTGAACTCATTCAACACGGAACGAGGCCCATCCCCCATCCCACCATCTCAAGGCTACAGCTCCAGAGGTGTTTCGCCGGCTCCTTCGATAAGCTATAAGCCATATCGTCCTCCCACCCGAGAAAGAGTGGACTCTCCTCCACCTCCAGCGCCACCTCCACATCGACACGTAGCAGCGTCGCGGCATAAGCAAAGCATATCCTACGATAGTCGACACGACGTTTCCCGTCAAGAGTCCAATGCCTCCCACGACAACCGCTTTCACTCGGGGAGACAAGGCTCTGGGAACTCTTTTGACAAGCGACTTGATTTTATGCGCCAAGACTCGACCGCGTCATACGAGAATCGGCACTCCACCTCGGACAGGCAAGGCTCACATCTTTCTTACCAGGCTCATCGACCGCCGCCGATACAGACATCCAGGCTGCACTCGCCGTGCCCGCCTTCCCCCTCGGCCAGTCATATGACTCCTTCACCATTGCGGGAGGCAATGGACGGCGTAATAGAGCAGCTGGACGCCCTTGGCATGCCTCGAGATCCAACTCCCGAACCGCCACTCGATCCATGGTCGCCCGAATCCTTCAACATGGTCAATGACCGTGCGAGGAGAAAGAACACTTACCAAAGACCACAGACATCCATGGGCATAGCACAGCCAGACGAAGGTTACGAGACCTGGAGCGGCGGATCTTCGCGAGACCAATCCCACCAAAACGGGCACCGAGAGGACAAGGAACAGCTACCTCAATTAAGTAACTACGTCGAACGTATGGAAAGTCGTCTCAAAAAAATGCATCAACATAGCGCAAGTATGGCTGACCTTGAGGATGAGGCACCAAAGCCGCCACCCAAAGGCCAGTTATACGAGAGACCCAAGTCTTCAATGAGTGGATCGGAGGAGAGAAAACTCAACAAACGGAAGTCAGCCTACGACATTGGCCGCAACGTGCTGAACAGGACATTTACTACCAAGACCAACTCCACCAGCGCCTCTTCAGGCAACCAGAGCTCGACGACGCAGAGCAGCGACAGGAGTTTGATGAGTGGGTCATCAGCCGGCGCCATTAGCGCTACAAGCGCGGGAAGTCTCGCTCGAAAGACTCAAAAGCGTGCCCAGAGTGCCCTGGGCATGCGCGACGTCGATATCGAGCGTCCAGAAACCCCCTTCACAGGCGTCACCTATCACAGCAGCCACGCGTCAGACGCTGCCAGGCCAAAATCTACAGTCGGCTTCCATGAGGACGCAGGACTTGGAGGCCTCGTCACTCCGAAACCCGCGAAAAGAAGCATCTTCAAGAAACTCCTCGACACGGCGAAGACTGGAGTGGCCTCCGGACGCAGTAGTATTGCGATGGGCGCCGACTCGCCCAGGTCTTCGCCTTTCGCCCGCTCCATGCCTAATGTCGCCGCCGGGGCTAACGCCAGCATCTCCAACTTGGCCGCCATGGGAAGTTCTGGCTTTGGTAGGGAAGCAGCCAGAGACATGGGTCCTGCCAACGGAGTCGACTGGGTTCAGGTTCGAAGAGATGTCAACCGGTCCAACTCTCTAAGTAAGAACGAGAGGGACGAGCGCAAAGACCGCTGTCAGATGCTCGACTACCCTGCGCTGAACCCGGTCGATGAATTGTTTGAGGGCATGGAGGGTGACGAAGGGGCTGACGGCATGCCTGTGGAGGATCCCATCGACTATCAGTCGCTGAACCTGACACAAGTTGACAAGAACTCGAGGTTTGTGAGCAGTCTTCCGGCGACGATAACAGCGCAAAGCGTCGCAACGACCTACGTCTGCCGGCCCTATCGTAGCGACGTTCAAAGACTGCGGGCCATATTCACTTGGGTGTCCGAGAAAATCCTTTGGGAAGAGGACTTTGAAGGAGTGGTTGACACCAGGAGAATTGTGCAGTCGAAGCGAGCAAGCGCCGAGGAGTACGCCGTCCTCGTGATGGAGATGTGTTCCGCTGTCGGCATCCAGTGTGAGGTCATCCACGGCTATCTCAAAACACCCGGTGAAATTCCTGAGCATAACATCATGCCTAGGGCGAACCATTGGTGGAACGCTGTTCTTGTCGACAACGAATGGCGGATGATGGACTGCTGCATGGCCAGCCCTTCCTACCCCAGAAGGCATCTTTACTCGAGCGCTAGCAGTAGCGTGGCCGACTTTTGGTGGTTCCTTGCGCGGCCGACAGAGCTCTGTTGGACGCACATTCCCGAACACCACACCCAGCAGCACATTTGCCCCCCGCAGGCCCATGAAGTCTTGCTCAACCTTCCTTGCGCTTGCCCTCCATTCTTCAAGAACATGCTTGAGATGGTTGATTACAACACGGCAGCCACCCGCATCGAAGACCTGGAGATGGTGCATATCAAGTTCAACGCCCCGCCAGACGTAGAAGTGGCTGCTGAGGTGGAGGTCCGAGCCTACACAAGAGACGCCGATGGCGATGTTTTCGAGAGCGGCGAAGTTGTGAGAAAGAGAGCACTGGCCCAAGCGGAGTGGTTCAACGGCACCAAGCGATACACGGTCAAGGCTCTGCTGCCTGGGGACGAAGGCCAAGGAGTCTTGAAGATCTACGCCGGCAAGCGTGGTCTGATGCACAGCATCAAGGACATTCCCCATCCAGTGGCTTTCGCTTTGCCAATCATCCACACGGGTGAGAATCCTCCGTATGAGTTCGTGACGCGACACCCGACGCCGCATGCACAGCGTCACGACATTTACGTTGTTCAGCCCCAGTGCCAACGGCTTGCTCTGAACAACACTTTTGTGTTTGCGATTCGACAACATCCCAGCTCTGTCGGCGGGAGTGGCTCGGCGATGACCCCGTCGTCGAATCCCGGGGGCGCAAGCCCGATACCTTTCGCCAGACCGGGCTCAGCCATGAGCATGACGGCCTCCATCGCCAGTGGGTCGAACCCCAGTACGATGGCTGGAGGTGGGAAAAAGCCCGCAAAGCTTGCAATCCAGACTCCTGGTGGCAAGATTCTCCGTCTCATGCGCAAGGAAGAGCGCCGGGGAATCAGTATTGGCAGCAGAGCAGTGGAAGACGACCTTGGTGACGGTGGTACGTGGGAGACCATCATCAAGTGTTCGGAGAAGGGTGTGTGGAGGGGACTGGTTTTGGCGGACCGCACCGCGCGATGGTGCGTCTTCGCCGAGTGGGTGTGTGTTGGATGAGCGTTGCATTCTGGAATGTCCCACTTCTTTGGTCTTTCATGCTTGGAAAGACAATGTCGAAAAAGGGGACTTAAGCGGTCATAGCAGGTCGGTTCATGGTATGCATAACTCGGCGTTTTATCTTGTATTACTTTCCTCTTTTTTTTTATTCTTCCTTTATTCTGCGGTATTTGGGACTGGATAGGGTACGGCTTGCATGCGTTCCATCATCATCAATATCATGGCTGTGGGAGTTTCTAATGTACGATACGTAATGGGAATCATGCATGTCGAGGATAGGATGGTTCTGTAACACAAAATTCACGCGTATATGGCCTTAATGAGAACTATAATGTATGATTTGTTGGTCTCAATACTCTGTAGTGGTGTTGTGATGAATACTTCTGTACGGGGTAGTGCAGTTGCAATACACTGTGTTCCTCCCTGGATAGCGACGCAGTCGGCACTGTGTCCTCTATCGATAAGGTGAAACGGCGCGCCATGGTGCCTGGACGACAGAGTCCTCTCGAATGTAAACAGAGGGGTGCTGGCACCGATGACGACCATGCAAGCCACATCCCTACTCACGCCCGGCTCTGTCTTGCTCGGCATCGACATTTCTCAATGATTATAAACCAAAAGGGAAGAAGAAAAAAAAAAACAGAGTCACCGTCATTTCTACCGGCATCCGACGACGCCTAAAAGATAGACAGAAGGGAGAGAAAAGACAACAACAATAAAAATAAGACGCAGGAAGAAGAGACAGCATACACGAGATCCACCACCGTATCCCCTTGCTTGCACCAGAGACAAGAGAAAGATCTCAAACGCCATGGCCGACCGCACCTCACGACAGGCGCCACCGCCGGGCGCCCCGCGGCGGCAGGTCCGGAGGAACCTCTTCCAGGGCCTGACGAGGCGGCCGACGGGCCCCACGGGGGCGTCTGCGGCTGCGACAACGACGAGTTCCGGCGGTGCGGGGGGCATCGTCTCCGCGGCGGTCGCGGCCGCGGGCAGCGGTAACGGCATGGCGGTGGCCGCCGGGGGCGGCTCGTCGTCTGGGGCCTCGGCCGAGACGCTGCGCCTCGACGTCGACGTGCTATCGGATGGGGGTGGCGCGCCTGTGGAGATTGTCGTGCGAGACGAGCACGGCGAGGTCGAGCTGGGCGAGCTGCCGACGCTGGTTTTTGATGAGGCTGACGAGGCGGCGGCGACGGACGACCGGGAAGAGAGCAACAGTACGTTTTCCCCCTACTTTCGCCGAGCACGGAGAGAGAGAGAGAGAGAAGCTGTAACTTTCTTTCATGTTCATTTTCTTTTTTTTCTTCGGAGGGGGGAAAAGGGGGTATAGAGCTATGGGGTTATGCTAACTATGATTTTTCTTTCTCTATAGAAGAGCGCCAGAGGCTTGCGGAGGCGGTAAAGCAGCATCAGGTTAACCACACTGCGATTCGTGAGCAGCCCGAAGGTGAGTCGCCATCTCTCACATGTTTTCAACTTCTTTCCCCTATACGAACTGTTTTCTGAATTCATTTTTTTGGTGTAGAGCTGCTGGAAGCTGTCAGGGTCAGTCTCCGGGCCAAGGTGGCGGCTCTTGCAGAAGACAACTGGATGTACGAGGCCGAGCCGGAGCTGCCCCGTGCCTTCTGAACGCGATGCGAAGCCCACTCATATCTACGAAACCTGGAGCCGCCGTCACTGCTACGACATTTTGACTCCATGTTTTTCTCCCTTTTCAGCGTCTAGTCCGGGCATGTTTAGCGGCACGTTCGGCAGATAGGCGAGTCATCTAATCCAGGCCCTCAGCTGCGGGCGCCTCCACCCGTCTCGTAGCGGGACGTCTCTGCTGCGGGGCGCCGGCACCGCCAAACAGGCTGCCCATCATGTCCATCAGCGGGTTGCTCTGCTTCGGACGCTGGATGCCAAAGTACATCTCAGCAATGATCTCGAGCGCCTCGTTCCACGCACCGACTTCGGCGATGTTGGACGAGTATTTTGCGAGGAGCTGCTTGTAGGCGTCGGGGGCGTCGCGCTGAACCGCCAGCAATAACAGGCCAAGGAAGTTGAGGAGGGGCAGGCTGGGGAAGATGCGCAGGTCGGCGCTGTTGCTGCTGACGTCCTGGACGCCGAGGCCCTTGTTATCGTTGCTGAGGGAGGAGGTGAAGAGGCGGTAGCACGTGTTGGCGGCGCGGACGTTGCCGACAAGGAGGTAGGGCAGGATGGCGCGGGAGGCGTAGAGCGGGGCCGTGTGCGAATCGTCCTCCTTGTACCACACGTATTCCATCTTGGCGAGAACCTCGGCCGAGTCCTTCGTTCCAAGCACTAGGTGTCTTTCGGCCTCGTAGGCTTCGTGTTCCTCGGCGTAGAGCGACCCGGCGACGTGGTGCAGGTCGGCGTCACCGGCGGGGTACTCGCCGAACTTGGCAGACCACCTGTAGGATCCGTAGTTAGCTTGCCTAGGCTCCCCCGGGCCACTTCAACATGATAACTTACGCAATCATCTCCCCAATGAACTTCTTCCTCGTAGGCTCCTGGGCGGGGAAGAGGCGCAGCAATGTGAGCAGCTTGCCCTTGCTCGCAGCGTCGGGCTTGAGCTCGGCTTGACGGAAGACGTCGACGAGCATGACGGCGAGGTCACCACCGCTGCCGCCCTGGCCAGCCTTGAGTAGGGATTGGGCAACGTTGTAGAGGATGTCGGTGGCAGCGGGCCAGTTGGCGGTCTTGATGTAGCGGGCGGCGACCACACGCGTCTGTTGCTGGGCCTCGTAGAACTGGCCCTCGCCGATGCGGGCCTGCAGCCGCGCGATGATCTTTTCGATTTTGTCTCCCTTGGCTGCCATTTTCGAAGGTGTTGATATGGGTGCGATTGAAACTTCGAGATCGCGGTTCAAAGGGAGGGGAGAGGAAGAGGGGAACAGACGGCACTGAGCGTATTAGAGAGGTGACGATGTTGTTTTGTAGCTTGGTGGTTTTGGGAGTCGAGATGGTGGGGGGATTACGGAGGTACCTTGGCCCCTCAGCCCAGGCCTGGGGGGAGCTTCGCTTCCATTCTGTCATCCTCTTCGGTTAAAGTGCGGGCAACGCAGTCTACTCAGACTGCAGAGCAAGGGTCGGGGTGGTGGCTCACAAGCGGTGCACTGACCAGTACTTTATTTTTTGCAGTGGAAAGACTCAAACCATCGGCCAAGCTTTTCAGAATACTATCAGATTCTGAACTTGCGAAAGAATCTAGGAGGGTTTCCAGACTCGGTAGTTTTGAGATTAAAGCGAATAATTGCTCTATGATCACATATTCAGCTTCATCTCTACATCAGAAAATACAGACTTGCGACACGCAACGTGTAAAGCTGTTAGCCCTAATTCGACGAGTGAGGTAGATAGACGTACCTGTTCCCAGGAATATTACCTAGGAACTTATGCGACTCATCGTTGGCAGCTTACAATGCCGATTCGAACCATGGACTATGACGCAATCATCAAAGCTCGTCTTCGATAAAATCCTAGTCGCATGAAGGTTATATACAGAATTAGCTGGATATCCTTGTTGAAGTCTCATATCAAAATGGCGATATGCTAGTTTTTGTTTTGTGGCACCACCACACGATAGTTCGAGAGGAAATCAGTAGTGTCCTATGGAACGTATTGACATAAACCGAAAAGGAAAAGCCATGAGTAGGCAAATTGGGTTTGCCGGGATGGAAAGGCACCAAGGGAAAAGAGCAACAAGTTGGCGATCAATGTTCCCTGCTGAACGGCTGGGTCTCACTGCCAGGGCCAGTGACGTCCTGCTTGGTGGGGGCACAGACCATGGTTCTAGTCAGTGCCCCCGATGATTATAATAGTTGCACAAATTTTCTACCACCGATTTTCTTCCAACTAACAACACTCAATTCAACTATCCACTCGTCGAATTGGCCAGCACATTGCGTCTGGGCACGGACATTTGTTTTTCTCAGGCAATGTGGCCAAATCGAGCACTCACATTATACCGATTGTTAGCTTCCCGTCCGGGAACATGTCAATGGGCTGTTACCCCGCACTCGTACATAAACTCAAGACAACGAGGTGCTTCCAACGCATTACAACCCATTGCAAGCGATGATGGTGTAGGGGTAACATCTAAGCTTCCCATGCTTAGGCTCCGAGTTCGAGTCTCGGTCATCGCATATCTTTTTGTGTTTGTTTGCTTTTTCTGTGGTATTACCCGGCCGCACCTCTCGTTGAAGTCCTTGTTTTAGCCTGCCATCATGAAGACATTTGCAGATGATGGTAGTTGGTACAATCGGCATATGAACTTTCGAGCAAGACGCAATATATATACCGTTGGACCACGGGTCTGGAAACAGGTATTCGGGGACTAGTATTTATTCCATCACGATTGACATACACAGTAAATGCCAAGCGTCTATGCATTGATTATAGCAAGGAGGTCGCGGGATCAGGCGATGCCACTCCGTTTTCCTCCGTACAAGAAGATCATGTCGGGCTGAAGCATTGGCTGGCATTTGAAATCCAGCACTTGGGAATTCGAAGCCCATATATTGAAGGATATGCACAGAGGGCGATTGCTCTAGAGATGCATCATCAACCTTGACAAGTGGTGGGGGAACGAACGCAAGGACGGTACCTCCCCCCCTCATGTCGAACATCCCAGACCAGGATGCAGAAGAACGCGACCCAAGTGCGGAGGACAAGGAGTAGAAAAATCCTTTAGCCGAAATCCCACACCCTGTTCCTGTCACCTGGCCGAGTCGTTGGCCGCTTGCTCATGCTATTGGAATTTATTGGTTCTCGGTTTATACTTTTAAACTTTCTCGAGCTTGGGCAGCCATTATAAGTTCTGATAGAGGCGTCTCGGCCTTGCACTACGTTCCAAGGTGCAGATTATGGATCTCCGGAGTCCGGGGTCCACTGCGGCATTGACGGCGCCTGGAAGGAACAATATGCCGATGTCGCACTCAAATCACCATTCTCATGGGCTCCCGGTTTTGCAGACCCGGCCTCTGTCATCATCTCTCGCAAATGTGTCCCCGTTCAAGACGGACCACGGGAAATCGTTCACATCCGGCCAACCCGGGTGGTAGGTACACTTCGCCCATTTCGTCTTTCAAGTATCAAAGCCACGCGTATCCGTACAACTGCAGGCACGTCATCTTTGCCTCTCCACCTGCCGAAGGTTTTCATTGCCGATGAGACCGAAGAAGAATATTGGTTTTGAGAGGAAATACGATTGCCATCCTTAACAGCCGATACCTAGCCATGAGATCTAGCAACTGAAGCCCCTGCGAGGGAGTTCGAAGTATAATGTCTATGAACCATCACACGGTCATCGACCCACTTTGTAAGGTTGATAGTTGATATAGAAAACTTTACGCTCGAGCATGTGTCACTGACCCTGCGCTCTTTGCTGCTACTACATACAAAAGTCAGCCCGAAGCGCGAGGAGCGAAGGCCTTCTCGGTTCAGACATGAGTGCCCCCCCACCCTCCATGCCCTTTCGGACGAGTCTGGAACGGCATGGCGTCACCATGCCATATACTTCTAGCTGGGCTCCGGAAGGCATAGACGAGACAGCTCATCTTTGTGGTTCCGGTAGCCGGAATGCTGCAGTTGATAAAGGGCGAGCACCCAGCCCCTTCTTCGCCGATATGAACTTACACAAGCTGAAATAACCAACAATTATCGAAACACCACAGAAGATATGGCGCCTACAATCAAGAACGTTGCCCTCGCCGGTGTAAGTGCCTTGCGCGTGGTGTGGCTGCAAACAGTACTAACTCACATTCCCAGGCCGGCGGCAACCTTGGACCCGCCCTCCTGAAGGGACTCATGGCCTCCAACAAGTTCAACATCACGATCCTGACCCGCAAAGCCGGATCCCAAAAGTTCCCACCGGACGTCACAGTCAAGGAAGTCGACTACGACTCCCTCGACTCCCTAACCGAGGCGCTCAAGGGCCAAGACGCCCTCGTCGACTCCACCAGCATATTCGACTCCAAGGTCGCGACCCGCATCGTCGACGCCGCCGTCGCCGCCGGCATCTACCGTTACATCCCGTCCGACTTTGGACTCGACCCGGTGCGCTGTCACGTCCCCAGTCTGCCCGTCTTCGGCATCAAGGCCTTGACGTGGCAGCATGTGAAGCAAAAGGCCGCCGAAAACGACGGCAAGTTCACTTGGACCATCATCACTAACGGCCCCCTCCTCGACTGGAGCCTCCGCAACGGCTTCATGGGCGTCGACATCAAGAACAAGAAGCTCTCCGTCTACAACGATGGCGAGACCGTCATCCCGTACACGATGCTCGCCGACGTCGCCAAGGCCGTTGTCGGGACGCTGCTACACGCCGACGAGACGGCGAACCGGATCGCGTACGTCCACTCCGCCGTCAAGTCGCAGAAGCAGATGGGCGCTCTCGCCCAGGAGGCCGTGGGCGGGTCCTGGGAGACCACCACCGTCGACGTCGACGCGATCTATGCCAACTGCATAGCGTCCATCGACAAGGGCGTCATGACCCCTGATGTCATGTATCCGCAGCTCCTGTACGCCTGCTCCAAGAAGGAGTTTGCTCAGCCGTGGAGCAGGAGCGACAATGCGCTGTTTGGCATCAAGGAGCTGAGCGACGATGAACTAAAGGAAGTTTGCAAGCAGATCTCCCTAGAGTAAATAGTTAGTCTTCCTTAGCTCATGAACAAGAAAGTGAAAAACAACAAAGTGCCAAGAGGAACAGTCTTCGGCACCAAGTGGCTCATGAATGCGACAAAAGGAGAGAAAGTCGCTTGTGACTGGTGCAAATTCAGCCATCTGATCATGACACTGCGAGTGTGGCAGGTGATTTTATATTGGCATTTGAATTCTATCTCCTTCATACACAGTACATACGAGGGCTGTTCATCAAGAAGGCCAATCAAGATGCGCAGCCTCAAGCAGATGCTCTCGTGGGTTATGGCATCAGCCATTCGGCGTCGGGTATGCCGTTCCAAGCGTCCCAAAATGCATCCAAGCAAGCCAATACACCACCATACTGGCCCTGAATCTTGTGCTCGGGCAGAGCGTAATATACACAGGTTTGTTCCGATCGGCCAAGGTGAGAAGTCGAAATACAACGAACAAGAGCGCAACAGGCAGACCAAGAAGTGAGAAGCCCTCAAAGGGGTCTTGCAAAACTCGGGTTTGCCGGTCCGTGCTGTCGAGGCGTGAAGTCGTGTGTACTAAGACAGCAGTATAAGAATGAGAACTTGCAGAAGAAAATCTAATTCGTTGATGTCGTTTCTTGTCCTCGCCGGCGGAAAAACATTCAATTATTGGGTTCGATTAGGAGCGGAGCGTCGGTTCGGACTTTGCAGAAGAGCAAGCCGTCCTCGGAGGTTTCGGGGTGTTTAGAAGGGGATGTTGGGGGTGCCCTGGGCACCAATAGCCTCCTGCTGCTCCTGGAGCTCCTCGCCACCAGCCTCGATGGAGATGGCAACACCAATCTTTGCTTGTTGCTGAGAAAATAATATCAGAACACGGTTGCTGAATCGTGGATGGCAGAACTTACCGCAAAGTGGTCAACATCGGCAGCCAGAGTCATCATGACAGGGGCGGCAATGCGCTTCTCCAACAAACAGCTAAGCTTGCCCTTGGAGTCGACCTGGGCACGGAAGGTAGACATTCTGAAGTCGTACTTGGCACCAACGGTGGTGACGCCCTCCTTCTGGAAGCCACCCATGACGCCTGCGGCACTGGGAACGAGCGAAAGAGACAGGTCGACACCAGCCTGGACCTTCTCGGACAGACGCCTCCAGTAGGAGGTGTTCAGAGCTCCCTGCGCCTGAAGCTGAGCGGTGGCAACCCAGTCGTCGGACTTGTAGCGAGCGCAGTAGGAGGTGGCAGTCTCAGGGCCCTGGGTCATGGCCTGGCGCTGCCAGACGGTCTCGAGACCAAGGGCAAGCTTAGAAGTAACCGACTGGAGGTAGCTTCCGATGAAGATACCAGTAACACCGCCGTCGAGACAAGAGGGATTCAACATCTTGAGGGAGGCTGTGAAGTCGTCTCCAGTGTATTCGTTCTCGATCTGGAGCATCTCCTGGCCAGCACCAGGGGCGGCCTGGAACTGCGTTCTCGACACGAGCTTGTCGGACCACCGGTAGTTGAATCTAGTGGAAAGCTGGCCGTCGTTGTCCATGTTTCCTTGCATGAAAACCTGTAGGGGGAGAACAGTCAGTCAGCCATGGTTGCGCCCCAACAAGCATTTAGGGGGGGACAAACCTTGCTCGTTCCGTACAGCGCAGCAAACGTGTACGGGTTCAGACGGTCACCCATCGCGAACTGGTGAGAGACCTGAAATAGGGGCGACATGCTGAAGGCCTTGGTGAGGTCGGCGCGAAGACCGGTAAACATGTAGTTGGTGAGCAGGACATCGCGTTGGACCTCCCTGGTCAGGTTCTCGGTGGTGCCGGGGTTGGACAGGCCAAGCTTCGCCCTCCGTTCCGAGAAGGAGTTAACGGCATCTGAAAGAGTGTTGGCGACGGGGTTGTTCAAGAGAACATTTTGAAATTGTTCCAAGCTTGACGCCATTGTTGCGATGGTCGACGCCGGCCGGGGTCGAACAGAACCGAGTAACTAGAAAACTGGGGGAGAATCGAGAAGAGGCCGACGAATTAGCCAATTACTCAGGATCAGGTCAGATATAATACAACTGCGACTGCCCTAGGGACCGATTATAGCTCGCGCAATGGGCAGGCAGGGGGCGTTGGGGGAGGTCGTCGAGTCGGAGGCGGTTGGTGATGGATCGAAAAGAGTTGTAAATTTCTTTCCACGCAGAGTACATTACGCAGCTGGAGGTCCCGGTCGAGCACGAGCCACGCTAAAGCCAATGGGAAAAGCTGGCAGCCACAACTGGTCAAGTATTGTGGAGACTTTCCTGAGCAGCAGCTCCAACGTCTGCTCAATGACAGAATTATCACGTGATACATAGCTTACGTCAAGTCGGTCCGAAGCTTAGCCGGGCCTCGATGCTGGGGTACCGAATTCCCGGCTAGTTCCAGGATGAGAGGACCCTTGCCCACATCCGGTACGTCTCCTTGGCCCTCTCCATCATTGAAGCCGACCAGGCCTCTCTACCTACTACAGTGTTAGTCTTTGAGTTCCTCATCGCCTACGATCTTATCCTGGACAGAGAACTGCTTCGAATCACGCCTTAAGATACACTCGCCTTTGAGTCCACCGTCACTTTCTGTTTTCCCAACAAAACCCGCAACATACAAAACTCGGCGTTACCACTCGGTTGCTATTTACGGCTCGGCTTGACCAGCACAGGCCTTGAGAATTTTGGCCAAGGAAAGTCTCTCCTTGCGGGACAAATTGGCGGCTTAAATCGGAACGGGACAGACACCAGTGTGACCTTGACCTCGGCCACGATCACCAAACCCTCAAAAACACTTCTCTGCGCGATTTTACCTGAAACTTACGGTACCCTTTGCGATACATAGATGCCCACGGCGCGTTGCTTTTGACCTTTTCTGAGCATTATCGACTTTCAACAACGGTCGCACTCCTTGAGCAGACAGTGCGTCATTGTCGTGTCTCCGCTATTCCCCTCCGTAGCGGCCCCTCCACCCGATCCAGAGGCCGTAGCTGCCTCGAAAGCAGTCCGCTCCCGGCTCAACCCTCTAGTATAACCCTCGAACCGGTTGTTGTGTCAAACCAGGAAAGGGTCGCATTTTCGCATCCATCAGAATGGACACACTACTGTGAGTTTGCGTTTTTCTTCTTTCGGCCCAGGAGGAGGGGTCTTGCAATTCCACCAATCCCTACCCTTCATCCTACCCTCCATGTGGCATTTGAGCGAGTGCTCTATTTCGACATATGTTATTAGAGGGCAACTGTAACATGAGGCATCGCTGTATAGTTGGTACAATAATGCCTGTGGATGATTCCATGCCTCAAAGACAGCTGGCCAAGCTCTGTTTATGACATGGCGGACACCGCATCCATCCTTAGATGCGTATTCTCCTGGCAATAGTTCAAGGAGAGTATAGCCATCTCAACAGGAAGATTTTCCGGTCCTGCTCTCCTCGCAAGAAGTCCCAAAGCTAGACGGAGGATCTTGAGGCAAGTCAATGGGACAAAGACCAACTATCCACCTGACGAACACAAATGGTTCTCGGGTGATATAAGAATTTGTCTTGGATACAATCACGGTCCTCAAAACCACTCACCAGAACCTTGAATAACAAGGACACCGAGAAGAGTTCAAGTTATATAAAAGACTCACACCATAATCACGGCCGTTGAAGGTAGACCTTTTAACCGCCAAAAACCAACAAGCCATCATAGACCTCTATATCTGGCCAGGTCAGACCGGCCCCTCACTATCACCTTTTGGCGAGAGGGCTCAACACTTTGTGTACACATAAGCGGGAGTGTACCTGCGTGAATTCTCAAAGAGGCAGCACAGCATCATCATAGCAAATCAGATGGGCACTCCCTGTGCCTTCTGTCTTTGTTTCACTGCTTGAAGCCCATCCTCGCCTTCCAATTATTCTCTCCTAGCCTATTGTCTTTTCTCCTCCATCAATCCTCTACTCTTGTTTTTGTTTCTTATCACCCGCCTACTCAGTCGTCATGGCCAATATACCCAAACCGCATGCCAATGTTGTGGAGGACTCCCGTACTATGAGTGCGCTAGGAGTGGCCTCCACGATTCTGAACCCTTGGCCAGGAATTGATCAGGAACAAGGTATTGACATCATCTCTTTTGATAGTACCGCAGAGATCGCGGCCAACGCGCCCCGATACCGCCGCAAGAGCTCAACTTTCATCGACGGCATCCACGATGTTCCTGAGGATCAGGATATGGCGCCTGCTCAACTCTATAGCACCATGTCCGGCCGGCTGTTCCACTCTGGCCGTATTGCCATCGTTATGGTTGGCCTTCCAGCCCGTGGCAAGACGTAAGCAAGCGTCCTACATTGGATTGATTTGCTGCTGACCTTCATAGCCACATCTGCGTCTCTTTGGCGCGTTACCTCGGCTGGTAAGACCCCAAAACCTAACTTAGGGGCCTGGCTCATTTATTATAGGTTGGGAGTCAAGACCCGCATCTTTCACCTGGGTGACTACCGTCGCGCTACGGTTGGTAAGGGCGGCATAGTCCCTGAGGATTACTTCTTCCCCGACGCGTCTCCTCAGTCAGTCATTCTTCGTCAGAAAATCCTCAAGAAGTGTCGCGAGGATATCTACTCCTGGTTGAACCACGAGAATGGTCAGGTAGCCATCTACGACGCTGTCAATCCCACTGCCGCTGGCCGTCGCGCGCTGGCCAAGGAGCTCGGGAAGCATGACGTTCAGGTTAGAAACATATCGAGTCCGTATTCAAGTTGTCTCTCTGACACTACATAGACACTTTTCATTGAGTCATACGTCGACGATGAGGGCATCTTGCGCGAGAATGCTCGCAACGTCAAGATCTCTTCACCTGATGTAAGTGCGAACTGAAGGGCCTCGGCGTGCTCATTATTGACTTTCACAGTTCGCCGGCATGGATCCCGATGAGGCCGCCAAGCTGTACCTGCGCCGTATCGACATGAAGATCCCTGTCTTTGAGACCATGGAGGAGAAGGAGCTTAACTACATCAAAATGATTAACGCGGGCCAGAAGTTCTTCTATAACAACGTCTCGTTCGGTTATCTCTCTCACCGGATTGTTTTCTACCTTACGAACCTGCATATCAAGTCGCGCACCACCTACTTTGTCCGCGCTGGCGTTACCACCGAAGAGGACTCGTACAAGGCCGACGCGCCTCTTTCTGAGGAAGGCATCGCGTATGCCGCCAGGATGTCGGAGACATTACTGAAACATCGCGAGCAGGAGCGTGCCGCCCTCGTCGAGAGGGGTGGTCCCGACGTCCCTCTTCGCCCCCTATCGGTCTGGACTTCCACGCGTTGCAGAACCGTTCAGACTGCCGACTATCTTAAGAAGAAGGGCTTCAAGGTCCGCCAGCGCTCACAGATGAGCCAGATCAATCCCGGTGTCTGCGAGAAGATGTCGGAGCGCGCCATCCGCCATCTCTATCCTGAGGAGGTTGAGAAGCACGAGCTTGACCCGTACCACCACAGATACCCGCGGGCCGAGGTGAGCAAAATAACTTTGCCGACTTCTGCTTTCCTTTAAACTGAAATTATGTAGTCCTACCATGATCTCGCCGTCCGTCTGGAGCCCATCATTCTGGAGCTGGAGCGCGAGCAGAGCGACCTCCTCATCATCGCGCACGAGTCGGTACTCCGCGTGCTTTACGCCTATCTGATGCACTGTGCCACCATGGATATTCCCATCCTCAAGTTCCCCCGCGACGAGATCATCGAAATCATTCCTGCCGCTTACCAGAACGAGGCCAAGCGCATCCATATCCCCGGTGTCGATCCTAAGATCACCCCGAGCTCTCCCGAGGACATTAGCATCCCTGTCCCCGCCAGCGGTCCCGCCAGCGGCAACCTGTCGCCCATGCCAGGCCTTCCATCTCCCGCGGAGCCCGCGGAGCGCCCTCCCGAGAAGGTCATCAACAAGGCTGCGGAGATGGTCGCTGACAGACAGAACGACGAGGACTAGGTCCTTGTATGTGCATATCTTAGGCGAGGAAATCCCTTTTGACATTGCTCAGGGGAATGAGAGGGGGGTCCCCCTATTGTTGGCGTGGACCGGGACAGCCAAAGGGTGGCTCGAGTTCTCGCCATCACTGGTTTGGGTCAGAATCGGGTGGTTGAAGGGATGGGGGGCATCAAAGGTGCAACGTATTCTCATTGATGTTCTTACCGTGACGACAACTTTCCCCACAGTCCTTTCCTGCTCTTGGCTCAGATGGAAACACATTTCATCCAGAGGAAAAAAGGACAGGTTTCTTCTTTTCTATTTTGGCTTTGATAACTCGAACAAGCATTACGGTCATGGAACCGGTGAAAGAAATAGCTCAACTTGATGAATGACAGTATGGTCATTGGTATTATTAACCACCCGGCCCAAAGCCCTCCGTCGCGCAGGGATATCGAACACTCCAGTTCGTGGTTTTTTTTCCCTTTTCTTCATCATGGTATCTCGTGTCTAAACAAACCGTAAACGCCCTTCCACTCCTCAAGTCTGTGCTACGTAATGCGGCATCTAGCACAGTTTTCTGCAGTGTACTTGTACGACTTCCAAGTCTAAATCCGCCCAAACTCCTCGCTTTAACAGGACCGAGGTAAGCTCTCGCTAGCCCAAGCCGAAACAAACTTGCTGAATGCTGATGGCCCGTTTTCCAGTCGTCTTCTCTCGTGTCAACATGCATCTACATCACAGCACACTCTCGCTCCGGTTCCTCCCCATCTTTATTCTTTTTCTTCTCTGCGGAGCGGTTCTTGGATTTACCCCGCCTGTGTGTATTTTTGTGGTGTTCCGAGGACATCCTTTCCTTGAAATCTTTGGAGTCCTTTCTCTCTGGGTCTGCGACCGGTGTTTGGTCCGCCTCTGCGTGTTCGACAAACTCCTCTTCAGTCACTGAATCTGGCACAGGAGCGTTCATAGATGGCGCTAGCGCGTTGCTGCTCGTGTTGCTGTTCAGGTCGCGAAGCGGCTCCTTGCTTTGCCGCATGAGTCCTCCAATTCGAGACATGGTGAGACTGATGCGCCCCTCGCCCGCTTGGCTGGTGGGCCGACTCTTGTTCTTGCCTGTGAAGAGGGCAGCGGCACGAGAAAGTCGCTGCGCCGTCGTTTCCTCGCCTGGAGTTGCGGCAGGCGACACGGCTTCTGGTGTGATTGAGGGTGTGCCCTGTGTTGAGTCCGTGAAGTTGACGCTACCACGACGCGAATCCTTGAAACCCAAGTATGGCTCATCATCGCCAAAACTGATACGGCTAGGTCTTTCTAGTTCCGACGAAAAGCGAATGCTTGGGGCCTTTGGTGGTGATATTGAAGTGTTCTCAAAGTAGTCGCTCTTTGATGATGACACTCCCGAGTTGCCGTTGACGGGATTAGGCGTGGTCGGCATATTGACGCTCACCTTGGACTCGTTGTAGGAAGGCGGCTCTGTCTCGATCTCTTCCGTTGACGCAACTTCGACCATCGGTACTATCTGGTAAAAGAGCAGGTAAGGCATCTCGTCCTTCAGTGCCTGCTTGATGTCGTCCACGTATGTCACTCTACTGTCGACGTCCAGGTCGTCGAATTTTACCCACTGTGCTTCTTCGTAATCAGGAGGTGGATCGAGTTCGTGTCGCCTGTTGTCGGTAAGAAGCTTTGGCGCAACTCTTGCGAAGGAGACGTAATGTCCACTGTAGAGTGAGTCGCCACGGTGGCAGACTACAGACTGAAGCACCAGCTTGTATTCCATGCTAAAGCCGTTGGGATCCTCCTCGAGCGAGGAACCGTCCCCAAGCATAAAATGTGGCAGCCTCAAGCTGTCTGGGATATCTATGAATGTGTTCTGGCGTTGCGGGATGCCTGAGTTCGTCATCATGTACCGCTTGAGGCAGATGCCAACCACAGGTCGCTGGTTGAAGTTCATGGCAACCTCAATGTCGTTCTTGGGCTCCTTGTTTCCAGCTGCATGCCAAGGGATCAGCCTAAAAAACTGCCACGCCGGGATCGTCACAGCCTTGACCACGGTTGAGCTCGTGCGTCGTGCCTTTTCCAACATGCTCGGAGTCTCGGACTCCTTGGCTCGCTCTTTCTCTTCCAGCACAACCCGCTGGATAACACTAGTTGAGCGGTGCCTCGGGGTTGGCCGCGAAGAGCTACTAGGCGATTCAGAAGCGTCATTCGGTGGGGGTGAGCCTACCCACTGGTGTTCAAGAACTGGTGACAGCGGGAGGGGTGACGCGCTCAAGGTCTCTGCTGTTTCCGACTCATGTCCATCTTCCCGGATGACCAAGCGTATGGTATTCTTGCTTGAAGCCGACCTCTCCAGGTCCTTCTTTTCTTCGTGGCTATCTCTCAGTACGTCCACCTGCGTGTTGAAGTATTCCTCCAAGCAGTCCTCGAGTCTGATTCCCTTGCCTTCAGGATCGGGAGGTACAGCTAGGTTCAGCAGTCGTTCGTACACTAGCTTGTGATCGTCCTTGTCGTTCTTTCCTTGATGGAAAAGGTCCACTTGTAGTTGCAAAAGGGGCAATTGAAGAGTTTCGGTGACGAAAGCAAAAGCTTCGGAAGTGTCTTGCTGTTCTAGGAGCTTGGCATCGCTCCAGCCACAATCGGCAAGGGCATCTTGTATCAGTTTCGTCTGCGTCGGTCAGCAAAGGCCGGGCGTGTCACGGGGAGGACCATGACTTACCATATCCGTATGGATCAACTTTCCGCTTCTGAGCATGTTCACCCACAAGCGTAGCAGCGTGACCAATCTGCGCCTCGGCTCGTCTGTGAACTCATTTCTCAGCATGCATTCGAAGGCGTCCAGCTTTGCGAACATGGCGAATAGCAGAGAGTCGAGGTAGCAAGTGACATTGCCTCTATTCTCCGCGCCAACCATCTCGACTTGTGGGTTGTAGTGTGTGATTTTGCCGGCCGTAGCATTGCACTGCAAATGGATAAACTCGACCGTCTTGTCGACATCGCCGTCAGCAAATTTGCTGTTTAGAGAGTCTCGAATGTGCTCCGCAGAAACGTCGGTGATATTGGACTCGGCAAGAAGCCGTGTAATGTCTTCGACCTGTCGTGCTGTTAGACTTGTGCAATTCTTTCTGGCTATGCCGCCGCGTACCTTTGTTAGTTCTTTCTCTCTGACCTCGTCGTCGCTGGGTGGTCGGTCACTCTTGAAGAGCGCTCGAAAAGCTTCTGCTGAAAGTGGCCGGCTCTAGTCCCGGGGCGTATAGTTAGCGTTGGTGTTGCTAGAGGGACCGCCTGTGCAGGCGCTTTACGCTGTACACAGAGGTGAGAGATTACCTTATGTCCTGGCTCTGAGGATTTGCTCCTGCGGTGGTTGCCATTTCTGTCCCTCAGGCTGAGAAACTTCTTGCTTTTCATGGTTGCAGTTGTGGTGCTTCGTTGCGGGAAGCCAGCCAGTTGTGTTTGGGGCCCAAGACGCTACTCGGGACAAGCAATGGCCTCAGCGGTCAAGAGTCATGACCAGATTGCAGTCGCACCCCCATCGGCCAGCTATATCGGAGTGGAGAGCAGCGTTGAGAGCGAATTTGAAGAATGCACCAAATGCGAGGTATGGAGGGGCTTTGGCGCTTCTCGGCGGGGCAGATTTTCGCAGTCGCAAAAGACGGGGCTGGGCTTTCGGTACGAGCAAAAGTCGGATGTGCCGTTGGGTTGGAGGCAGGTATCGGCTCGTGTTTGAATGGAGGGAGTATGTCGCCAAATATCTCAGGACGGTAGCAGAAGAGTGTGGAAGTGGAAAGGTGATCCTGTCCAGTAGTCAAATACACAGGGGAAACAGCTGAAGGGAAGCCGCTCAACTGGTTCCAGGAGCCAGCAAGGTTCGAGGTTGGCTTGTGGTTCCTTGACTGGGTAGATTCGGGGTCCAGTATAGGTAGTGGCGAGACCCTAAATTGCAATGTACCGACGCGGCAAATCTTTGGCTTGATGTACTTTGTGGCCCCTCAAAAGTGGATTTACTGGCTTCGGAGTGTGTGAACGCCTTGTCGTTGGATGGCGGCGGCCGCAAGGCGGACTTTTGAACTTTCAAGACTTTTACGACTCGGTGTTATCATTCGTTGTCTAGGTAGTTGTTGAGGATGGCTGTGGCCACGATTTTATCTAACTTCTCTCCAAAACGGCTCTAGCCAACCTTGAGCTTGGCAATAAGAGGCAGAGAGAGAGATATGGGTGAAGAGCTAGAATGTTCTCTCTGCCCGTCGGGCCTGGCTGACACATTTCTTCTCATTTATGACCGGTCCCAAATGACTGAGAAAAGGTTGCCTGCCACAACATCCAACATTCACACGAGATGACATACGTAAGGGCCATCCATCATGGGAGGAATATCCGAATTGGATCACGCCGCCCACTTTCCTAGGATGAATGTGGCAAGTCATCCATCGTATCAACCGTAGGCCATTCGATACCCCTGTTCCAACGGTGGACAACGATTGGGCTTCTTGACTTTGGGAAATAAAGAATATTATGGGCTGGGTGTGACTCTCCCAAGTCTCGTCTCTTGTTTCGTGGTGCTTTGAAATGGCCCGAATGGTACCCTATGCCACGCATCCTAGCGTGTCCCTTACATCTTAGTGTACACAGATCCAACCTCATGGCTCAGGTGCCCATGCTCTAGGTTTCATAAGCCTCCATCTGACTCTGTGGTATTATTCACACACATCAGACTTTAGCCAAGAACAGACGAAGGGCGGGAATAGAACAAAGCCCGCAGCGCCGCCTCTCACCAAATCCCTAGACACATAACTCTAACATAGCAGCGGCGGCAGCTCACGGGCTTACTTACACACCCACGATTCCAGGCAAACTCAACTGACAAACGGTTCGACAAACCATCATGGCGTCACCTGCCACTCCCTTACCCATGTTGGACATTGATGTGACAGCGACACTAACCTCCAATCTGAAGAGATGCGCTCGCGTAAACCGTACGCGCTCGCTTTTGCATCCGCCGTCTTTGGCACAATCAGGCAACCTGCATAGTGGCGTACACGTAGCCGCCCATCGAGATCTGCAATGGCCATCCCGCCTGTCCATGCCGTCCCATCTTTGCCTGTTCGTGCCCAAGAGTACCGCAGGCAGTTCCCTCGCCTTGCCAGCTCGAACGGAAGACAGGCTCCATCTCTGCATACGTAGGTAGACACTTGCTAACCCATCGAGCCGGTGACCGAATGACTGCTACGTAATCGAGCGGGGTGTATCATATACCTGCCCGAGAAAACGGATCGTTGCGTTACCTCTCTAGAACCGGACAATTCGGGGGACGGAGAGCTGGGTGACTCTGATGGCGTGCCTGGTTCAAATGACGACAGCCCACTATCCCCCCGGTAACCTCATAGGCCCGAAAGTCCGGTGAATGCACCCGAGTCGGATGCGATGTAACGATGGTCCGTACCTTTCTTTACGCCTGATATTATAGGCCAGAACAGAATGTCCGAAGGACAAGCCACACCGGCCGGGGATGTATCCACCTAAGCATATGCATCAGCCACACGTGGCACGGACCGACCTGAACATTTCGAGATTGAAATTTCGGGCATCGCGATTGACCCTTACAGACGTGCTGAGTTGCGTGACAATTGAGACAACCAGCCATGGCCGCTCTACGGGAAACCTCCCAAATAACTCGGGCTATTTCCAGGCAGCGCTCTCCGTGGCAATTGAGACCCCTTGTCATCCAGCGATGTGCATCCACCAGCACCGCGAAGCCTGAGCTGGCCGATCTCGAGCCCAGCTCTTCCCTGAACGCGCCAGGCCCCGACGAGGCTGCCGTACAAGCTTTCAACACGGCGAAGCGTATATCCGAAAGACCACAGCAGCTTCCTGGAAACAGGTATATGTCCAGATAGTTCGTTATGAGAGGGAAAGCAGAATGCTGACGCATGAGGTGACAGATACCAGTACCACCCCCCTAAGTTCGACAGAGGCCCTCTGCACCCGATTCAATCACCGCCCTCCACCGATCCCACGGCAAGAGACTTCGTTCCCGGACCGTTCAACATCCCGCGGCTGCGTCAGACCTACGATGCGACCATCGCCTCCGACCTTCTCACATTGACCTACCTCCACAAGCCCCCCGGAACACCAGAGCGTGAGGTGCGGGAGCGGTTAAGGGCGTGGGACGACTCTTCGCCGTACAACAAGAACCGTCCCCTCCGCGGCCCCAGAGGTGGAAGCAAGCTGGATTTGCTGGAGAGGAACATTAACTGGCGTAGCATTCCCGAGATCAAGGCCGTCTCGTTGCACGCCTACATGCCCTCGGCCACCAAGGTCCCCGGAACGCTGCATGTCGCCCGCTCCATCATCCAGTCCATCAGCGGCAACTGCCCCGAGGTCACCACAGCCAAGAACAACATCATCGATTGGAAGATTCGCAAGGGCGACAAAAACGGTGTCAAGACGACCATGTATGGCAATCAGGCATACGAGTTCGTCGACAAGTTGATCAACCTCGTCCTACCCAAGATCAAGGACTGGCCCGGCGTCAACGCCAGCACGGGTGATGGCAACGGCGGTCTGGCCCTCGGTCTGAAGCCCGATGATCTGGCTTGGTTCCCCGAGCTCCAGATCAACTGGGACATGTACCCTGCCAAGGTGAGATGAGACGTCTGCCTTCATCGTGTGACCCCCATGCTGACGAATCCGTAGCTCATTCCAGGTTGCCATATCTTCATCCAGACGACCGCCACATCAAACCGTCAGGCCAGGCTTTTGCTCCAGGCTCTCGGCCTCCCTTTCTACGGAAAGTTTCAAGATTAAATGGGGACAATTGAAAGAGACGGGTGTCCTTATTGTACGATATCAAAATATTAGAAAGCCTGTATATGAATGTACCAACAGATACGGCCACTCTTCATGCCTCATATGCCAGGTGCATAAAAACCAGCCTTGCGTTTCCCCGTCGTGCGGCAGTAACTCGTCTAATCCCTTAGTCCCAAATTCGTTGGTCATCCCGTACGTCAAGTGGCCCTCGTGCCGTACCGCCTGCCCAAACGCCATTCATGCAAAGCCCTGTGCCAAAAGTTCGCTAGCCCCTTACTCTGGTTTTCCCCCTCATGCAGCCGTGATCTTCGCCTTGAGATCGTTCATGACCTCGTCGACGTTGTCCATGTTCTCAGCATCAACCTTGCCGGAACGAATGCCCTTCTTCTCCAACTCGTCCGTGAGCACGTTCATGCCGGGCTGGTAGTTCCGGACGGCGGAGCTGAGGGCGTAGATGGCCTTCCTCCGCACGGCTTCCAGCTCGCCTTCCTTGATCGCCAGCTCCAGTAGCGGCGGGATACCGCCGACGGCCACCAGGCGCTCCTGGCTGGGCTGGTTGTTCTGCACGGCGGTGCCGACGCACCAGGCGGCCATGCGGCGCATCTCGTGCTCATCGTGCTCGAGGCAGCTGAGCAGCGGGGTCCAGAGGGAGAGGTTGGCCATGTTGTTGGCGTTGTCAAGGTTCTCGATCAGCTGCTCAAAATTGTCAAAGGCAACGAGCTTGTTCTCGAGCGTCATTTCCGGGTCCGTCGAGGTAATGGCGTCCATGGAGAGCTTCATCAGCTCGGCGTCACTGGGACCGTTGCCGAAGAGGGCGGCGATGGCCTCCGGGTTGAGATTGCTGACGGGGGCTGCCGGCGCCGATTCGCCGTTTTGACCTGCCGTGCCGTTCTCAATGCTCCATTTGAGCAGCTCGTTGAGGTTTTTGTCCATGATGTGGGATAATTACGATGAGTGGTGTTGGTGATGTTGTATCTGGAAGTAGTTTCTTCCAGGATTGTTGGCGGGGTATCAGTGAAAACTATGCCAAACCGACATGCAAGATTTCAATGTGTGTGCTGAGAGTTGATTGTCGTCATCAACCCTCAGTCAATCTTTCACTTTCACTCTGAATCTCATCGACATCAAAAAGTTCTCCATCATTAAATGCCCCATCGGCAGCGCTGACTGGCTGCACTGATTTGCTACCCTTTTCTGGAACCTTCAAGAAGCTTGTCAACGCCAAAAAGAGCTTAGCGCATATCTCACGTGAGAGCCCTGATCAGGGCCAGCTCAATGCTCGTTTATGCAGCTCGCTCGCAGTTGAAACTTGGGCAGATACGGACCGCCCTCCTCTGCCCAACAATAAAATGTGATCATCACTAATCTCTGAGTTGGCGATTCACCGGCCAGTCAAAATCCATAGTGCATTGGAGCCCCTGAGGCTTGAGGAACGATTGGAGTCTGAACGAGGAAATAGGAAATGGTGAATCTCCCCGGGGTGGCTGGTGAAGAACCAAAAAAAGTTCCTAGCTGCCCCACCATGCAATGGATTGCCCCTCATTGCCGCTTTAATCATTAGCCATGGACAGAGCTTCCGGGAGCTAAGTGACTACAACGCTGAGCTGAGAGCAGCCTCCGAGCGATGAAGTCACGGCAGCTCCCCCAAGTTGCTACAATCAGTTGTCAACCATGGCAGATTAGGATTTACTTTAGCCTTGCGTCTTCTTCCGGAAACCCCTCCCTGGCCTTTCATTTAAATTATGCTTCGTTCGGGAGGCCGTGACAATCAGGCATAGCGTCTCCATGCCAGATTAACAAGTTCTTATGCGCTGTAATGCTGTATCCGATCTGTGCTAAAGGCCCCGATCAACGGAGATACCGCCAGGCAAGCCGGAGCTCAGCCACATTGGAAACGTAGCACAGTGCCGGAGACTACGGCCACTTCATGTTGGGGCTCCCACATGAAAGCGTCGAAACATACTGTACACTTGTCGACACGCGTTCGTTTCGAAGCGAGAGCGAGTAGTGTGTGAGCATGTACGCAGTAAGTTCCGATGCGAAAGGCGAGGCTGGAATCCGAAGGCCCCATGCCAGAATTGCTCCCTCGGACCCTGGGCATTGTTCCCGCAAAGGGCGTCCATACGCGGATACGCAATTTGGGACCATTAGGGCGGCGACCCATTCAGGAGAGGATGGCCCTTGCATAAGCAGGCCCTCTGGCATCCTCGTCCGTCCGCGTAGGCGTCCATATGTAGTGCCGTTGGTACCTAGCTTGCCCTTGCTCATATGTCGTGCCTCCGCGTCGTTTGTCGCCGTGCATCCGCGAAGGCCGCGAAGACTGCTTGGAGGCAGTCCGACGGCTTGCGTACCAAAATAGATTATGCCTGCCTGGCATCTTCGCCCAGCTCTTTGTTGCTGACGGCAAGAGATGACGTACGACTCGGGAACGGGGGGTGGGGGGGGGGGGCCGGGACACGGCCATTGAACATGTGGTTTGGCAGGCGCGAATTCGCCCACCACCATCAAGCATGAACTATAGGCAGCCGGTAGCGGCGGGAATCTTAGAGTCTTACGTAGGTGTCGAGGAGCGACCCCCGTTCCCTAATGTGATGAGTAGTCTCTGCTGCTCGCGGTGAAGGGTCTTGGCCGAGGTGCACTCATGCTCCCATGCTCTTTCGCTTGGGCTAATCCGGTTGGTGTGGGGATATATGCTTTTGAAGATAATGACAAGGCCACAGTCTGGAGGAAACCGGGCGCACTGCCGTGACCGTGGCTTGACTCAATTGGTCCGCGGTTCTGGCCGTGGAGAGTGAGCCTCTCTCACCGTCGGTTTCAAGCTGCCTAGAGAGCAGGCACTGACGGCGAGAGTGTGACGAATACGTGTTGCCGCCGCGAGCAACGAGCGTGCTGCCTGATGATCTGAAGTGGTGATGGAGACGCGGCCGACCAGGAGGATGGAGCCTCATTACGATTGTTTACCCAGAGCTAGAAAAGGCAACATCGATAAAAACCTCGCCAAACCCCCGTGCATGTTTGAACAGAATAGCCTCAAGAGCTTCATGCTGTGACACCTAGGGCGACAAGGCGATTGCTGACCGACTTGCCTATATCTATGTCAAACCGACTTGGCAGTGCTTTCTTCCTTCCTCCCACCACCAAAAATAAATCAAAATCCCCCCATAAGCAGCGATAGACGTCGCTGACGATTGTGCTTCTTGCATCCCACATCGGCTCAGCAAGATCTAAGGTACCTTTTCCCTAGCCCATCTCAAATCCTGGTCAAAGTAAGTAAAGCGCGTTCCCTACCGTGCCCCACCACACTACTTTGCCAGAGGTACGGATACAAACCAGAAGATGGGCAAGCAAAGGTGCAAAAGCACAGGCCCCCAAGCTAATTGGGCGGTGGATGGTGGAGAGAGACTGGCGAGATAGGGAGCGAGGAGGATTGCTAAAGCAGCAACTCCTTCCCCGGGCATGCTGCCACTTTCTGCCACCTGTTTTACGCTCCTCCTGCCCGCCCACCTTTGCCCGCTACAGCCATTTGCTCACCCACAAGTCGGGTTAGGTCTGCTTCTGACATCGAAACCCGGCCCGCCAGCAGTATAGCAGCAGCCAACGAAACGCCGAGTTGGGACAGCCAGCGCTCACCGCACACTGTGCCTGCCATTCCCACTCTTCTCCTTCTTCCCCCCTCCTCCACCCAAAATCGACTACCTCTCATCTTCCCGAAACCTTTCCCACTTTCGACCTCACCCATCGACGTGCTCTCTCTCCAAGTTCTTTGCCATCCGCTCAGGACTTTTGCCAGTTCCATCTCGCTCCTACGATTCCGGAATCGAGTGAGCTGTCTTCATTTTCATAGAAATCCTCTCGATTTTCCCAGTACTCACCCACCACCCTAATTCAAAATGGAAGGTACGTGACGCCATCTCTGCCAACTCCTCTCGACCCAGACGCTGCCGCGTCTCCGCCACCCTTTGTCGCGACGTTCGGCATCCATCGACTCGCGTCGCTTCTTGTATCCCATCGCTAACGTTCGTTTCTGTAGAGGAGGTTGCTGCCCTCGTCATCGACAATGGGTAAGCTTTCCCCTGCCGTCTCACCGACCATACTGCCTCCTGGGCCTCGAAGGGGTCTGGCCAACGGTCAGCCCTCGCGATAACCCATTGGCACATCATCCATCGATCATACAACCCTTCTCGAGATCGTCGTTCTAACCTGAGTCCAGTTCGGGTATGTGCAAGGCCGGTTTCGCCGGTGACGATGCGCCCAGAGCTGTCTTCCGTAAGTCCCCCTCATCCGCAGACCGCAAGCTTGCCCCGTCAGGGGCATCAAGACTCGGTCACAGATTGTCGGATCTGAAGATTCTAACTGTCTCGTAGCCTCCATTGTCGGTCGCCCCCGTCACCATGGGTAGGTTTTAGTTTCGCTGCGGCAATTCTCCCCCGCACTCGCCGCTTCAACCTAACATGTGGATAGTATCATGATCGGTATGGGCCAGAAGGACTCCTACGTCGGTGATGAGGCACAGTCGAAGCGTGGTATCCTGACTCTCCGCTACCCCATCGAGCACGGTGTCGTCACCAACTGGGACGACATGGAGAAGATTTGGCACCACACTTTCTACAACGAGCTCCGTGTCGCCCCCGAGGAGCACCCCGTGCTCCTGACTGAGGCTCCCATCAACCCCAAGTCCAACAGAGAGAAGATGACCCAAATCGTCTTCGAGACCTTCAACGCCCCCGCGTTCTACGTCTCCATCCAGGCCGTCCTGTCTCTGTACGCCTCTGGTCGTACCACCGGTATCGTCCTTGACTCTGGTGACGGTGTCACCCACGTCGTCCCCATCTACGAGGGTTTCGCGCTTCCCCAGGCCATTGCCCGTGTCGACATGGCTGGTCGTGACTTGACCGACTACCTGATGAAGATCCTTGCCGAGCGTGGCTACAGCTTCTCCACCACCGCTGAGCGTGAAATCGTTCGTGACATCAAGGAGAAGCTCTGCTACGTCGCCCTCGACTTCGAGCAGGAGCTCCAGACCGCTTCTCAATCCTCCAGCTTGGAGAAGTCCTACGAGCTTCCTGACGGCCAGGTCATCACCATCGGCAACGAGCGTTTCCGTGCCCCTGAGGCTCTCTTCGCTCCTTCCGTCCTTGGTCTTGAGAGCGGTGGTATCCATGTTACCGTCTTCAACTCCATCATGAAGTCCGATGTCGACGTCCGTAAGGACCTGTACGGCAACATCGTCATGGTACGTTGTTTACAGCTTTTTGAACCCGGAGGATTCATTACCTAACATTTTCTTAGTCTGGTGGTACCACCATGTACCCCGGTCTCTCCGACCGTATGCAGAAGGAGATTACTTCTCTTGCTCCTTCCTCCATGAAGGTCAAGATCATTGCTCCCCCGGAGCGCAAGTACTCTGTCTGGATCGGTGGTTCCATCCTGGCCTCCCTGTCCACCTTCCAGCAGATGTGGATCTCCAAGCAGGAGTACGACGAGAGCGGTCCTTCCATTGTCCACCGCAAGTGCTTCTAAGGTAAACGGCGTGGCCCAGGGAGTTGCGAAATCCAACACGTGCTAATCTTTCTACAGCGGCCTCCTTTTCGAACCACATTCTCGCCCTTCCGAAAGCACATCGATCCCAAAGAGGTCCCGACCGGTGCAAAGTCACTTCGGCGTTGCATGTATCACAGTCAGGCCTCATATTGGCAAAAAGTTGTTGACATGGTCAAGAAGTTTGGGTCGACCCTTCTCCCGAAAGATTTGGTCCTTGTTTTGTAGCAGGGTGCGCGTGGGCGCGTATAGGGGCGGACACGTCTGCAACTGAGGTCGATCATACAATACACTTTGCTTACTGTTTCCGAGCTTCTCACATCCGGTATTATTGTGACGTTGTATTTTCACGATAATGATTTTAGCCAGGAGTAGAGATGCATCAGTTTTATTCTCCAGATGGTATACTACATTGTGACGCTGTGTTATGCTAGGGTTTTAGGTTTTGTACATGTGGACTGGCGTCTGTTGAAGTTGCCGGATCGGCATGCGCGCTCGATGCATTGTTCGTCTGGTCTTCAGCATGTTGCTCTTTGACCTCTGCCTCGGCTGTTTCGCTCTGGGCCTTTTCCTCATCCAACTGGCGGTACTTTCTCCTGCTCTTCTTTGACGCACTCGCCGCCTTTTTGCGCTTCACCTCGCCAACTATGGCTGAACGACTCTGGTCACCGTTCTGCAGGTCGTCAAGCTTCTGCGCTAGGATTTCGCGGGCAATCTTGCGGTTCTGGGTTCGGGAGCGGGTGGCCTGGGACTTGACGACGACACCCGTGGGGATATGCTTAAGCTGCACAGCAGAGCTCGTCTTGTTCTATGAAGGAGCAAAAAAGCCCGTTAGTTATGCTGGACCAAATATTGCCTTTAAACATCACTAGGCCGAAGTGGAAGGCCGAGAGGGCTTACAATCTTTTGACCACCCGGCCCGCTACCCTTTAGGTATGACTCTTCGATTTCGGAGTCAGGGGGAGGCTTGGGCCGGGGTGGCATCTCGTGCTTCTTCAACGCGGCGGAAGGCGATACGCTGAAGGGAGCAACGAGGAGCAGGTGGTGGTGGTGCTGTTGCTGCCGCAGCTTCTGTAGCGCCGGCCTTGCCGTAACGCAGCGGCAACGCATGAAGGCATTGGCGTTCGCTGCACCGGCCAGGCGTGGGAGACGGGTCGAAAGGGTTAGAGGGGGAGGCATCACGCGCGCCGGACCATTGTCCGTGGAGGGTGGGCTGGAACGAGGTTTCGAGAGTTATTTGCTGAGCGAGAGGCTTTGAGGTTCACAGCGCAAGGCGAGACCTCCAGCCTGCCGCCCGGCTGGGGGTTGCATGACGGGACCCGGGAGGATGCTGGAGTTGAGGCGACCAATCAGAGGATGGGGGAGGGTTCCTAGTCAGTACTGGCCGGGTACAGGGGGAGGGGGACAGCAGCTGGCGCTGGAGGTGATCGCTGTAAATTGGCCCCCACTTTTGGTTTGCTGGCGGTGTGGGCATTGGGACTCTGCCGTCAGTGCGTTTCTGATGCGGATCGGTCGGTATCGGTTGGCTGCGTAGTATTTGATTGCACGGCGAACGGCGCCCCCCCAAATTTCTCTGATAAGATTCCTGCGCGAGCCCGTCTCGGACGAACGAAGTCTGCCTCCTCCTGCCACCACTACTCATATATCCCTGGGTTTCTCCTTGTCGACCGGCCGACACGCAGCGCAGCTGGCAAGTTTCCGGATTAGACTTTCTCCCTGACGACATACTCTCCTTCGTCATCCTTTGGGGAAAACGACCTGGTTTGGCTTGTCACGCGCAAGACCTTCTTCCGCCTCCTTTTTTCCCCCTTCGCCTTCGGCATTTCCTCGTGACCGGCGGCCGAATAGTCCCCTGGGCATCCGCCTCGACCCCTACCAGTCCAAAATCACAATACGAGCAGCGAACCTGCAGTCACCGGAACAGTTGAGTTCGAACTTCGGCGAATAATCAATATGTCGGCCCTCCAGTCCTTCAGCAAGTGGCTGCACCTGAAGCAGTACCAGATCGAGGTCACATTCAGCGTCTACATCTTCACGCCCCTGGAGAAGTTCATCTTTTGTACGTTGCCTGCTCGCCAGAGACTACCGGCCGCCCCCCTTTCCAGTCTTAATCGCAATTGATTGTTTTCGAACAACACCGGCTAACTCCCTGCCCCTGCAGACACCGTGCTCTTCCTCCTGAGCAGTCTGACCATCATCGCGACCGTCCTCTACCTGCCCCAGCACATCGCCTTCCTCATGAGTCGTGCCTGGTTCTACATGCACGGCGACCCGATTGACGCCGTCGTCGACGCGGTGGTTGACGCTGTCGAGGTGACAAAGGCTGCCGTCGAGAGCGTGCTGACCGCCGGCTCGACCAAGACTGCCGTCGCCCTGGCCCAGGAGACTGTCGAGCTTGTCAGGGAGCTGTAGGCGGCCTCTCCCGCCATGCTCCCCCACCGCTCGTGTGCGGAACGTGAGACGGAACGATGGTAATGTTTTGGATGACAAAAAAGAACAAGAGGAGTGAGGAAAGAGGAAAGAGGAGGTTTTAATAGCGACACGTATGGCGAACGTCCAATGAAGAGCTCGAAGGGCGTTGTGCGGGGGCTGTCGTGCCGTTTTCTCTGCTTCTGGTGCGGGCGTTTGTGTTGGTTTGCCAATCTCCTGGTCCGGTTTGGGCGGCCTAAACGAAGATATACATATATAACTCGTGCATGCGGCGACGCATGTCTAATCATACCCTCATACATGAAGACTCAATGGAAAGTCTCCCCTTCTATGGGGGAGGATGTCAATTCATTCGCTCGTCGAGCTGGATGCTCCCAGTCCGGTGAAGCCGTATATCCTCAGGGAACTATCCTCACCAGCGATGGCCAGTTCGTCTGCGTCGCCATCGCTATTTGAGGGACGCCACGCCAGCTGGGCCACTGGTTTGGGAAGACACAGACTTGAAGAGTGGTTAGTTGTGTTTCTGAGAGCACGGTAGTCCGCGTTGGGAGGAGACTTACTGCGGTGCCAGCTGGGCTGTGCTGACTGACTGGACGGTCTCAGGGGCTAACGTGCAGAGGGAGATCTTGCCGGACTCGGTACCCACCGCGAGGATGAGCTCGCCTGCCGCGCCCTGTCTGCCGAGGAAGTCGACGGCCGTGACGGGGCCGTCGAAAGCGAGGCTCGACGCCAGGGCGAACTCCATCATGCCGCCCTCCTGGGCCTTTCCCACCCAAACCTTGGCGTTCTTGTCACGTCCCGCAGTCACGAAGACTCGGGCACTCGTAGACGGGGCCCACGCGGCGTCCAGGATCATGCGCGTGTGGCCCTTGGGGTTGGCCTGGAGGAGCCGGTACTGCGAGCGCTCCTTCTCATCGCGCTCGAAGACAGCCCATTGCCTGTCTCGCCCGACACTTAATAGGAGCTTGTCGTCCGGCGAGAAGCGGAGCCTCGTGGCCGTGAGGGAGTGCGCCATCAGGGGCGGCTTGACCTCGGTCCAGCGCTCCGTCTCGAAGATGCGGATGACGGCGTGGTTCAGCGAGCTCGCCTTGCAGGCACTGGCAATCAGCTTGCCGTCGTGGCTCGCGGCCAGGCAGGAGATCTCGTAGCCGTGGCCGTACAGCTTCTCCGTCTCGGGCCAGAGGGTGTGCCGCGACAGCGACTCTTCAAAGGGCGGGTGGTCGATGTCGAGCATGGACTTGCGTACGATCGTGGCCGGGTCGATGGCCTCGCGGTCGTACTGGCTGTCGGCCTGGACATCCTGGTCGTCGTCGACGGCGTCGATGGCCTTGTTGGAGAGGCCGAGCACAGGCATGTTGGCACCATCCGGCATGGACTCGGCCGGCGCGTCCGTCTGGATCCCGCCGAGGGTCTGAAGCATTTGTGCCACGGCGCGCGGCTCGCTGAAGACGCGCATGAGCTTCTCGTCGGCGCCAGAGACAAATTGCGACGCGCCGAGAGTGTCGATGCAGTTCAGGTCGTAGCCGTGGATCTGAGGCCGGGACATCTCGTGCCACGAGCGAGCCGCGCCGCGCTTCCAGCGGGCGTGGAGGCGGGTCGTCTGGTCGGAGCTCGTCGACATGAGGTAGTCTCCGTCACGCGACCATGCGATGCCCGTGACGGTCTTGGTATGGCCGGTGACGGCGATGGCGGGCTGCCAGTCGTCGCGCTCATCGTTGTAAACCCAGCGGCGCCAGCTTCCCGTCCGGCCGAGGCAGACGACGGACTTGCCGTCGGGGCCCCATAGGCCAGTCCAGAAGCCGCCGATGCTACCCGTCGCCGTCGTCGCGCCCTTTTCTCTGCTGATTTCGCCGAGCCTTACCATGCTAACCCAGATTCCGGACGCGGAGTCAGCCTCCCACATGGCAAGGGAATTATCCGCGGAGGTCGATAACAGCTGTAGCTTGCTGTTCCGGGTGAGCCATTTCGCGCTGTAGATCCAGTCCTCGTGGCCCAGGAGCAGGGCCTCGAACGTGATGGAAAAGTCCTTTCCGCCTGACTGGAGTCGGTGGGCCTTGTTTGAAGGGGACTTGCCCGGAAGGTAGGCGCCGCTGGAAGGATCCGAGCCCTCTGCGGCGAGCGACGGTAGCTCCGTGCCCAGGTGGAGGCGCCAGAGTCGGACGTACTTGTCCTGACTCGCCGAGGCAAGGAGAAGATCGCTATCTGAATCGGCCTTCTCCCATGTGAAGTCCAGAGACCTGATCCAACCCTCGTGGCCTGACAGGGTAGCCTGCAGCTTGAAGTCAAGTGTCTCTTCGGCGGCAGCGGCCACGAAGATTTGGACGAACGTCTTAGTTCCCGCCGCCGCCAGGACGAAGACGTCCTCGGCCTCATCCAGTGTCGTCAGAGCCAAGCACAAGGGGAAGTACTTGGGATTGGTCTTGATGGTCTGGCGGAGCTGCAGGCGGCCCCCGGTGAGCTGCCAGATCTTGATGGTCGCATCAGCAGCCCCCGAGGCGAGGAGAAACTGTTTAGGTGCGTTTCTGGACTGGAGAATCGCTATGCAGTTGACAGGCGCCGAATGCTCGTGAATCGTTTGCACGCACTCTCCCTGGTTCGTCTTGGGGTCCAGGGACCAGACCTTGAGCGTCTGGTCATCGGAGCCGCTGACAAGGAGTTTGCGGTCCTCTCCGTCCACTTGGGGGAGAAACTTGACCGTCTTGACGACCTCCTTGTGCCCACTAAGAAGGAAGGCAATTCCATCATCATTTAGTGACTACCCGATGCTCGTCAGTCAGTGCCAGGTTGAGATGGCAGGCTGGGCAGAGCTTACAGATGGTGTCCACAGGGCAATGTTAGAGTCCGCACCATAGGCAAGTAGACCGCATGGGCTCCAGTCAGCAATGTCAGTCTGCCGGTTAGCTCCTGTGGACAGGTACTCGATGGATGGTTGAATGGCCGTCATCTTGTCCCTTGTCGTCGCGGGGTTTTGCTACGTCGACCAAGTGACTCTAAGGGTTGACAGAATACGGCGACGTGATTGGCTCGCCGGCAAGATTCAAGAGGTGAAGTTGAAATTTTTCTTAGTGGAGGGGGGCCCGGGGGCGGGGCTCTCGGGCCCTGGCTTACAGCGGGCTACAGCGACGTCAAACCGTTAAGCCTCCGCGCCGTTTGCTCCACCGACGTCCGGCAGAGGGTTGCGCCCGCCATTGGAAGGCACAAGTCTGCGCTGGCGCGTCGAGGACAGGGCTCCGGCTTCAGGCTCCAGCGTCTGTTCGATACCCAGCTCGGGCCCCGTCCACATCCCTACCTGTACCTTGCATCCATCACATCTTTCCTACATCAGTCCATGCTGTGCAAACAAGCAAAGCAAGCAAACTCTATCGCGATTACATATCATATTTTCAATCTATTCTCCGATATATCGCGTGGTGCAGCTGCCGGCACTCTGGACTTTGTCAGACATTGCTCCTAGAGCCGACAAAAGCAACGGAGAAGGAAAATGGCCACAGACGCTGCAGATGCGGGGGAGAAGATCTCCGTTGTTGTCGAATTCTCGTGAGTCGCCTCTCACCCCTCCGTTCCCAGTCGTTTCTTGCATCCTTCTAGACGGGCTCTATCCCTCAGTCTTTGGCCGAGACCTTTCTCACGCAGCTTGGTGGAGTCGGTCGAAGCAGCGCTTCCGTCAGCACCTCGCATCTCGGTTAGGGGAGACACAGAGAGCATTATGCTAACAAGGTTCTCTGCAGCGGTGGCCTGGAGATGCTCTTCTCGGATAAGAGGCGCCATGCCCTCTCTATCCCAGCGGTGAGCAAGGATGGCAAACCCGCAACTATTGGCTTTCTCATCAACTATCTTTGCGAGAACACCATGAAGGACTCCAGGAAGGAACTTTTCGTTCTCGACGGTCACCTGTACGTATCGAAACGGCACTGCCGTCTCCAACCTCAAGCATATCATCATTTCGGCGGAATCAACCTTGCCGTACCTTCCCTACGTTCACCCCGACCTCACTCGTGCAGGAGTACATCGCCACTCCTTCTCACCCTTTCGCAGAATCTACCTTTGATCGTATAGCGTCGTTATTTTGTATGCAACGCTAACGTGGTATCTCCAGTCGGCCTGGCATCCTTGCCCTTATCAATGATGCAGACTGGGAACTCGAGGGCGAGGAGGCTTACGAAGTCCAAAGCGGTGACAACATCCTCTTCGTCTCGACTCTTCACGGAGGTTAGTGAGGGGCTCGGAAGGGGGAGGGGGGGTGCGATTCTTGGACCAATGGCCTCGGGCATGACGGGGCCCTGCAAGTGATTGCGGCCGTATCTCTGGGTCCCTGGAATTAGCACGATGCATCTCTGCGGGCCGGCGCTGGTAGAAGGACGTTGAAACTCAGACGCCCTCCCCCCGTCTCCCCGCTCGCTTCTTGCAGCCGCATGGCATTTGCATCAAGTAATCTGCGGCCGTAGCCGCCGGCTCAGTCGGCGGGGAGATGCACGTTTTGCTTCCGCCGCTGGTCTCTCTTCTTTGTCTACCTGTCTTCTACAAACACACCACATCCCTACGTCCAACGCCATGCCACCCTCGATGCGAAGAAACGTCCCGGATGTTATATCCCCTGAGTCCCCGCGGTCCTTCAAATGCCGCCGCCTTGCCTGCCACATGTGCTGTGGACGCATCGTGGCGACAGCTTCTTCATCCCTTGTGCTCCCCTTGCTCTCGGTGGAGTCTCAAGCCACCTCAAGTTACGTTCTTGCCATCCTAGTCTCCCCATGTACCGTTCATCATGGGACGGCGCGCGGGATGAACCTCCCGGGAGCCTGTCAAAGTCGCATGCACTCGTGGTTGAAGGGAGTGGTCAAGGGTTTTCATCCAATCATCCGCTAATTGTTTCGCGGCCAATCTAACAGGGCGAGGAATGGGGATTGGATCGACAGCCTCGTATCTGTATCCGTACATGCGCCAGCCTTGGTAACTGCTGCGCAGTGACGGCAAATGAAGCACCCGTGATGCGCGCCAAACGAGGCCGTCACAAGCGAGCCCTCAACTCCTGCGAGGACCAAAATTGCCTGGGAACATTCCGTGTCTTCCCCTCGCGCATACGACGAGGCGGTGAAGAAACGAGTGAACCTCTTCATGGTGGTTGATAGCGTGCATTGCAGTAGTATACCCAGGATTTATTGATGCAGCCCTTTGTGCATTGCATTCTTGTCCTGCGGTTGACTTCTGGGTGCTGGTTGCGCTGTAAGTCTTTTCACCCCACTGCAGGTAAAAGCAAACACGGAAAAGAGACAAATGCAATTTGGACCATCACACCCCCTCCCCCCCCCCTCCCCCATGCGCAGATGGATGGATGGAGGAGAGACGGGCAGAGACGGGGGGCTTCTAGAAGACCTGCTCCCAGATGCACACCCGCCTCGAGGACCCCCACCCACTTAGCAATCCAATCTCGTAAGTTTCGCTCGGAATAGAATTATTGTTTCTTCCCTAGCCCTGCAGGGTTGTTTTGCGCCATGTGACCCCCTGGAATTCCAAGCGCCGGTCGAAGACGTCAACCGTTCCAAACAATCTACACTCAGAGGGCGCGCATCTTTGTGGGGGCGACAGGCGGACGTAATCAGAAACCTCAAGTGAGACCAGCGTTCTGCTCTTCACAATGTCGCTCAGGGGTTCGGGCCGCGATCTTGTGCTCCTCTTGCCCGCACCTGGGCGGGTGCGGGTCATGCCCCCTCTTCTCGGCGGGTTTTAGATCCTGCTGGCGGCTGCTGCACCCAGGAGATCGGGAACTTCTGGGGAGACGCACGTTGGAATCGTCGGGTGGCGAGGTGTTTGAGGGCCAGACACGAGGAGATGATGAATGATCAGGCGAGTGGGTTACTTACATACATGCACATATACACTTGGCTCTGGGTTGCTGATCCGAATCACTCACATGACCTCTCCTCGTTGGAATGATTTCCTTGGGTGTGTACATAAAGACTACGACAAGGCTAATAGTAACCATGATAATGGTGTAAATACGATCACCAGTATGATTAAAGGAATGAACAGGGGAGGGTAAAGTGGCGTTGTGGTTCATTCCAGGTCTAGCGACCCGGGTCACTAAGGGCTAGACGGACGGGCTATAAGATGGGAAGTAGTATAGTACAAGTCTCACTGTGATGCTTTGTACTAAGCCGATGCTACATGCTTTTCGCTGGTTTTCATTGGAAGTATCCCAACTCTAGGGGTGGTGTTGCTGAGCTGGCTCTCGTCAATGGCGCCGGCCACGTGGGAACCCTTTGCCCAGGCCTCCTTGTTAACATTTATTGGTAGTTCGTTATCGAAATGGACATCCTGGTTTGCTGCCTTGTGCCGCTTCAAGCCGTGCAGACTCGCCCCTTCAACTTGTTGGTTCTTATCATTCCTGGGGTGTATCGCGGTAGACTCTACGTTGTAAGGAGCTTTGTATGATGCCCGTTCTTCATTCAGTCGCTGGCGTATTATCCAGAGCCTGCCGCTATGGACCCTTCGATTGCCCTTCTTGACGAAGGAGGCATGGCCAGACAATTCAACGACCAGTGGTTGGTGGTCCAGTGCGAACGAGGCAAGGTTTGCAACAACCAACCACGCCTTCGGGCATTAAAAGGCAGAAGCAGCGTCGAATCGAAACCGGAGTTTCTTTAGTTGTTCGCTAAAGCCAATGGATATGCCCGTAAATGACTTGCCTGTAGAATCGCGATACATTGCTTGTTTCCGAAGCGGCCAGAGGGTTGTTTATCTGGGCGATGCAAGTTGCTGTTTTAATCCCCATAAGCCGTCTAGGCTAGTCCGCCATGCGCGAAGGAAGAACCAGTACATAGTTATATTCTAATGGAATGGTATATCATCCTGTTAGAGAACAAATCAACCGATAACATAGAGCAACTACTGGCCACACCTGGATTTGCTCAGAATCAGATGTCACTACGTCTTACATCCTCTAGACACGCCTGTTTGCTCGATTCAGCCTCCCCGGTATAGTTGGCTTCGCTTGGAAGTCGATTATTGTTCTCTGAGACACACCCGTTGGGCTTTCTAAGTCAGCCTTTCGAATGTCGACTTACAACATTCCAGTCTACAGACAAGCGACACTATGTATGTTAACCTCGTTCACGTCTCTTACTTAATCGCATCTCGCTCCTAGCGCTACTAAAACATAAACCGTTCGTGCTTCATGGCGCGTTCAACTGTCCGTAGTTGGCATCGAATGGCGCACAGGATCCTCAGAACACGAGATGCACCGATTATGCATCATAGATACGATTCTCGTTTGTAATGAAGTGGAGCGGCAAAGGTTGTCCGTCATCGGCTGAATCGAGGGGATACTTCCTCCGATGGTGCCACTCTTGCTGCTACCTCGTCGTTGGTTGTCGGAGCAAGAAATCTGCTGAGGAGCTTTGCAGAGTCCGAGATTCGCAACGACATGTTCGGAAGTCGAAGCTATGGACGTGAATATGAGCATCAGCACTCCCAGTGGCTATTCCAACTTGTTTTGGCTTCTTGCACTTCTCCAGACCGCCAGGCGATGAAATGTCGTTATGTCAGAACGTACGGCCTCCTCAGGGTTGATGACATCGTGGACCACCGGCGAGGGCATCGGTCTTCTCTCCGCCTGCGCATCGGCGCCGATTGGATCACTCTCGTGGGTATGTCATCTGACCGCCCCGCAAGAGGTAATGATTGTCCCGGACGGGGCCGCTGGCGCTCCCAGTGCGGATCGAACGAAGGCCAAGTCCCCACCCTCAAAACAAGCTTACTGCAGGCTTCGGGAACTGACAGGCCCCAAGCCCGAGCTTCCTGCCTGCCTTTCGGCGGGTATCCCGCCGCGGTCGGGGCTAAGGGCATCGCGGGAGCGGGAGCGGGAGCGGCGCCCAATCAAAGAACAAGAGCGGCACGAGAGTGATGTAACCGCGGTTCGTCGCGACTCGCAGTTCGCGCGCAGCCTTGATGGGATACGTGCGGTTCGAAACCTGGGATGTGGGGAAGACTCGGGGGGGGTTCCACGATGCGCTCCTCGCGGGGGGAGGAAACAAGATATAAGCTTGCTCTCAGCGACTCTCCGGCGATCAGACACGTTCTCTTCCGACTCCTTGCCGCAACTTCTTGGGCTGTCGGAAAGTTTAACGCGCAGGAGCAGGAATCATAGTACGAATCCAGGCCGTGGACACCGTCAAAGATGTCGAGCTCCGCAAGCCCGCTTGCGAAGTACAATGTCGCCAACCGGCTCTACAAGAGCTCGTTGCTGAACACCGTGTGCCTGGTTGCCGGCGTGTCCATCTTCTTCTTCGGCTACGATCAGGGATTGATGGGTGGTGTCAACACGGCGCGCGATTACGCCGAGCTCATGGGGTTCGGCCACTGGAACGAGGAGCAAAGGATCGTTGTGGTCGATAAGCCGCTGTTGCAGGGGGGCATCGTAAGTGGCCGGGCCTTGCCATCCGGACGTCCTTTGTCTTACAATGTATCAGGTCGCCGTCTACTACCTCCCCGGGACGCTCGTGGGATGCTTGGTGGGCGGATGGTTCGGTGACCGGTATGGTCGTCTCAAGACCATCGCCGTCGCTTGCATCTGGTCTATATTTACCGCCGCCCTGCAGTCCGCTGCCCAGAATGCGAACTGGATGTTCTGCGGTACGTCAATGAAGCGGCTTCGTCGCCGATTGTGGATCATAGTTAGTTGCTGACTTTGCGGCAAGCACGTGTGCTGAACGGCATCGGCACCGGCATGTTAAACGCCATCACCCCCGTGTGGGCAACGGAGATTGCTTCTCATACATCGAGAGGCAAGTTCGTGTCCATGGAGTTCACACTCAACATCTTTGGCGTAGTGGTCGCGTACTGGCTGCAGTTGTGAGTTGACATGACCCCAAACATAATTCCTACCCACCTCTGACCTCACCACAGCGGCACTTCAAAGTACAAGGACCCCGCGTCGTCCTTCGTCTGGCGGTTTCCTATCGCTTTCCAGATTGTCCCCCTGATCTTGCTCTTCGGCATGATCTGGTTCATGCCAGAGTCCCCGCGATGGCTCGTCAAGATGGGCCGAGAAGAGGAGGCCAGGTACATCCTTGGAAGACTGCGCGGCAACGAGAGCGAGGACATGGGGGTCGCCGAGGCGGAGCTCCAGGACATCATCAACATCAGAAATTTGGAGGACGAAACGGCCAAGCAGCAGAGCTACCTTGCCATGTTGTTCGGCTGGGGCTCGGGCAAGCTCCACACCGGTCGTCGCGTCCAGCTCGTAATCTGGCTCCAGATTCTGCAGGAGTTTATAGGCATTTCCGGAGTTACATTGTTCGGTCCGGCAATCTTCACAATCGCTGGCATCAGCTCCGAGCAGCGCCTTTGGGTCAGCGGTGTGAACAACATCACATACATGGTATGCGGAACCTGCTCCGCGGTCCCGTATCGCAAAGAGGAAAGCTGACGCCATCTAGTTCGCAACTTTGGTCTGCGTGTTTACCATAGATCGTATCGGCCGTCGCTGGACTCTATTCTGGGGTGCAGCCGCGCAGGGGATATGCATGTTCTGCGCCGGCGGACTGGCTCGGGCGGCGCTCAACGCCGAACCCGGAAATCGGGCCGGACTGGGCGGCGCCGCGACCTTCTTCGTCTTCTGCTATACGGCCGTGTTTGGCGCAACATGGTTAACGGTTCCCTGGTTGATTCCCGCGGAAATATTCCCTCTGCAAGTCCGAGCCAAGGGCAACGCGTGGGGTGTCGTCGGGTGGTCGATCGGAAACGGATGGACGGTAAGTGGCTCTGCATGTGACCCGGCTTGCCGGGAGCATCTGCTGACGTGCGCGGAACCAAGGTACTGCTCCTCCCGACAATCTTTGCGAAGCTGAACGAGAAGACGCTCTACCTCTTCGGCGCCGTGAACTTCATCAGCATCGTCGTCGTCTGGGCGCTGTACCCCGAGTCCAACCAGCGCACTCTGGAGGAGATGGACCTCGTCTTCGCCAGCGACAGCATCTGGGCATGGGATGCCGAGAAGGAGTTTGCCAGGCTCAAGGCCGAGAATCCTGCTCTTGTCCGCTCGGCGCACAAGGGCGGCGATGCTGTGGACTCCGAGACGGGCGCGGCATCGTCTTCGAAGCAGGCCTATGGTTATGAGGAGCGGCCTTGATCGTAGATACGAGACGGACGAAAGGCTTCGGCAGTATATCTAGGCGTGTTGTGCAAACTGATAACCAAAGGCGCATGGCAAGCCAGTACGTCGCCACCTAACCGCAGCCAAGCAATTGCCTCGGCTCTGCAGTTAAAGAACGCCACTGTATCGCCGGGTCCACGTGAAGACCAAATCAGGTACGAAGAAAAACTTCAAGAAAGACAAAATACATTTCCAGATGTCCAAAGTGAAATGTGGGATTGGCGAAGGGGCAATGGATGTGGCAAGGTTGGGTTGGAGCTATCTGAAGGGGCCCAACTCGATTGCGTTTTGAATTCAAAGTATAACGAACACCTTCGCACTTGTGGGCTTTCTCTTCTCCATGCATGACCAAGCCCAAAAATACGTGCAAACATTAAACGATATACGCTGCAGACACCCGAACCTCTAACTGCAACCTTCAAACTCGGCTGATGCATACCGTGAGAATCAAGACTCATCTCTGACCTCCTGGCTTCGCCGCCGCCATGGCCGCCATTCTGGCCTTACGAGCCGCCCTCCATCCCGGAGACTTGACGCGTAGCACTATCACAAACACCGGGTCAGCAAACAATTTCGTGACGGGCCGAGAAACCCCCCGATTCGCGGAAAACATACCAGTGACAGCGGACCCGACAAGGACCAGGTCCAACAGTGCCAGCCCCGTGAAACACCACCCGCTGCCCATCCTGGTGACGAGCGATGGAATTACGAGGGCGGCGATGGCAGCACCGGGGTTCCGGAGCATGTTCCCGAGCGCGAAGGCGCCGGCGGCCTGTTGGGCCACGCACTCGGTCAGGAAGGCCGTCGTGGCCACGAAGACCCAGTTCATGCCGAAGCCAGCTGTGGTTGCACGCGGTCAGTCCCGTGATCTCACAAAGTTTGTGAACAAGATGAAAACAAGACGGCTCTGAGGACTTACTCAAGAATGTGGCAACGAGCACGGCAGCAGGATGCAGCGAGGCGTCGACGAACCACCCGTACATCGCACACCCGCCGGCGCAGACGAGCACGCCCCAAATCTGGTCGGCTAGCCTGTTCTCGGGGTCGACCTGGTTGTCCGGGGACATCTTGATGGCGCGTGCGCGGCGCCAGTCGGAGAAGCGGCCCCCGACCATGGAGCCCCCGATCATAGCGACGCCGACGGCGAGAAAACCTGCACCAGTGCCGGCAGCAGACCACTTGTATCTGTCGGTGAGCTCCGTGGGCAGCTGGACGGCGATGGCGAAGTAGGTCGAGTAGAGCATGGCCGTGTTGAACGTCACGATACCGATGGGAGGGTAGCTGAAGAGGCGCCAGTACCCGAGCAGAGTCGGCTTGGGAGGGGGAGGGCCTCTTTCCGACTCGGGGGCCAAGGGTGAAGACAGTTTTGGAGGGAAGAGGATGAAGCCGGACTGGACGTAGAGTTGGCCGCTTCCTACCCTGGCGCGCAAGGTCTCTGGTAGCATCAGAATGATGGTAACCCAAAGAGCAAATCCGGCAATGGCTGTTTGGCTCGGGTTAGTTGATGGACGGCTTGTAATAGGTCGGCGGAGAACTCACCAAGGAAACCGAAGATCCAACGCCATGAGGCTATCGTCAATGCACCTCCTATGACCGGGCCGAGCACCGGTCCAAGTTGGGGTCCAAGAAGGAAGATGCTCATTGCGAAAGCTCTTTCCTTAGGGGGAGTGACCTAAGGACGGGTAAGTTGGCGGTTGCGTGATGAAGATATCCTGGGGCACGCACATCTGCAACTGTTCCTGCGCCCATGGATACCACGGCCGCGGACCCAAAAGCCTGTACAATCCGCAAGAAGACAAGAGCGCCATAGTTGGCCGGCACCGCGGCCAACAATACATTGGCCACAATGTAGATGGAGATGGAAATGATGTACAGGGGTCTTCTGCCCTTCCAGTCGGCAAAACTGGCCCAGAACATGGGCTATGGAGGGTGTCAGAGTCTCTCTTTCATTTCTGAGCAAACATCTTCGTCACTCACACCAAAGGCAAAAGTCAGCATGAAGACTGACACGGTGACATTAATGGCGGTTGCACTGGCATGGAACACATCTTCCAAGACGGGTAGAGCCGGGAGATAGATGTTGCCGGCCAGGGGACCAAAACAACCGGCAACAGTGACGACGCTGAGGATGAAGCGCTTCCGCCATGGCGAGAAGGCCGAGTATGCTGGTGGAGCGCCGGCTTTCTTCTCGGGGTCGGTTGCGGGTTTGTCAGCGGCAGGGACTGGGACCTCTTGCGAGGACACAGCGGTGTCCTTGATAGGCGTCGTCGTGCCGGAGGTGGACGGACTGGAGTCGGCCATGCTGTAGCAGTTGCAAGTAACGCCCAGAATGAGAGACCTAAGACAGAGATCAGGAGTGTAAGCAATAAGGTGAAGCAATCATAAGAAAAGATAGAAGGGGGGGACCGGAGCAAGTCAAGTCAGGCAAGGTGGAGCAATACGGCCCTGATGATTGCCGTTGCTTGGGAACAAAGACTGCACAAGTATTCTGAGCCAGGTCTTTTCTGGACTATAACAATCCAATGTCCATTTAATAGCATCCTGGCATCTTGATGATGATGACAGGATCTAACCCCGGCACCTAACCGGGAGGGCAGCGCCGCAACTCTCTGGGCGGCTATGTGTGTGTGTGGGGGGGGGGGAAGGATGATGTACACGAAGGGGAGGGAGGCTCCGCCAAAAGTACCGGTACCTCTGGGGGTTTAGAAGCTTTCCACTTGCACCAACCACTTTTGGAAAAACTCTGGAATTCCATCAAACTCTCCTTCCTCTTCGCGCGTCGAACCTTGATCCTCGCAGCAAGACCCGCTCTTCATCCTATGTACGATGTGTTCTCGCGGGGCTCCGTTCTTGGTGCCACTAAGTTCTAACAGTTGCGCCCGCCTGACGCACAGCCCGTGCTCCATGATTTGTCTATGGAGCGAAGACCGTGCGACGTTCGACGTAGGTAGGTGGTATGTCGAGATGCACAGACGCTGCGTTGCCAAAAGGACTAATGCATGCGGGCTATCGTCAGCAAACAGCAAAGCCTCTCGCCCACTTCGGCTCCAAGTCCCAATCCTTTCCTTTTGGTCCTTCTCATGCAAATCGACTCTGGGCATTGGAAGCACAGAATCCACGTTGGGCTGGGCAGGGCTGAGAAGAGGTCGTCCGTCGTCGATGGTCTCATCTGTAACCACGTAAGTGACATCGTGTTTTCCCCCTCTTCTCTTGGTGCTGACCCGTTCCACCAGGATTCCGGGCCTTGAGGATATAAACTTACTCACATTACGGTTCAGTCTTGCCTCGCGTAACAGGCACTCCACCAGTCGCGATGCTGCTGTTTTTGCTCGAAATCTTGCTTCTCGGAGCGCTGCTCCCCGGCTTTGTTTACTACTTCTTCTTACTGCCACCGAAGTACCCGCAAAACATACCGGCGATTCCCTTCTGGGTCGCCCTCATATCTTTCTTCAAAGACGTTGACCAGTCAGACATCTTTCGCGAGTACATAGACAAGCCGTTACGAGCCCACGGGGCGGTCAAGATCTTCTTTGGCGCTCAGTGGAACATCTTGGTCCACCGACCCTCCTACCTGGTCGAGATTTTCAAGGACGAGGACCTCTACGAGAAGAGCGGCAACCAAAAGAAGATTCCTCATAGCGTCCTCGCCGACTTTCTCGGTAGCCACTCCTAATTGCGAATTTTCATTTCCACAGCGGGTATGCGTGCGTGCTGACCTCCAAGCCAGGCGACAATATCATTTCGGCGAGAGGGGGCGTGTGGAAGAGCTATCGCTCGGTCATCAAGCCGGGCCTCCAACAGAATTTCGATGCGTGCATAATCGAGGCCAACGCAGTCAGCCTGTGCCGCCTCCTTCGCGAGTCCCAACAGCGGGCCGGACGGGGTGGCGTCGCTGTGCAGGATCTCCTGCAGCGGTATTCCGTCTCCAACTTCACCGAGGCCGTCCTTGGCACCAGGCTCCATGTAAGTCGCCTTCGGCCCCCACGGTGACCCGACCGGACCTAGCAGGGAATCGTCTAACCCCGGGTAACCACGTGCGTAGGCACTCGATAGGGCCGATGCCCCCATTAATATCCTCCAGACGGCGGTTAAGAAGGAGATCTTCAAGCCAGTCTTCATGAGCTTCCCTTTTCTCGATCGCCTGCCGCTCAAGTCCCGCCTAGCGGCGAGACACACTGTGGGTCTCTTCAAGAATGAACTCAAATGCGCGCTGCAGGCGAGCCATCCCCTGCAGAAGACACCCCACCTGTCGGAGGCGTCGTACAAACTGGGAAAAAGAATGCTTGACGCGCGAGCGTCGGGCTTGTGGGACGAGAAGCAGCTCCTCGACAACCTCACGGTGGCGTTCGTAGCAGGCCAGGAGAACCCGCAGTTGGCGATGATATCGACGCTGTATCTTTTGGCAAAGCATCCCGTAAGTCTTACTGCCCAGGCCCAACCCGTGCTGACCGGCGTACAGGAGGCGCAAGAGCTGCTGCGTCAAGAAATCGTCTCCAAGGGTGTCGAGTCTTCAGCAGAGCTGACCAAAGAGGACATGCCCTATCTCACCTCCCTCCTCTACGAGAGCCTGCGTTTGTTCCCCCCCATCGGCCAGCTCATCAACAGGAAGACGGCGAGAACTGCACTCCTGGGCGGCAATGTCGTGATCCCGGAAGGAACATACGTCGGCTACCACTGCTACTCCACGAACCGCTGCCCTGCTACTTGGGGGCCGACGGCAGACGAATTCAACCCCGGGCGGTCCGTCTTAGTCTACCTCCCCACGACCTTTACGATTCAATGCGCTCACATTTCGCAGGTGGGGTTGCTCCTCCGAGGCAATCCAGCAAGAATACCGGCGCCGCCGAGCGAGGGGCGAGTGGATCAGCTTCCATGGTGGTGAGAAAGGATAAACAGGATTCTCTTTTCGTCGTTTTGCTGCTGACGCGTGCTAGGCAAGCGTGCATGTCTTGGCGAGAAGTTTGCAATGCTGGAAATGAGGGTTACACTGATGCAGCTGGTCCGCGAGTTTTCCTTCACTCTAGACCCGACGTGGGTTGACCGTAAGACGCCGGTAAGAACCTAGTTTCCCCCTGCACCTGTCCCCGGACCTCCTACTTTTTTTCCGGCACTAACCGAGCGTTTTTCGCCCTCTTTCCAGGCCGGGCCTCTCTACCCTCGGGCTCTGCGACTGGTTTTCAGAGAGAGGGAAAGGGAGGAAGAGAGCGTCGCAAGCTCAGGTTGGTGATGTGAATACGGGATGGGTTTTGGGTAGATTGGGTTCCATTA